TCTTCCCCTAACTGACTCCGAGAATCCCTCTCCCACGGGCTCAGCGTGCAGGTTTCCACTTCATCCTAGCGACTTCATCGATCCGGCCACATCACTGCGGAGACGGGAGAGCTGTGCCCCCAGGACTCCGCTGGTCATTTTGTCCATGGCACAAAACACCGGCTCGGTCTGCCGTAACCAATGCAGCCGAGCATTAGCGGTCAGCGAAACCGGCAGATGCGGGTCAGAGGCAGACCCGGCGCAGATCAAGGTGAGTCTCGGAAGCGCCTTTTAATGCACAGACTTCAGGTTGGGGCTGCTGGCAGCCTGATTCCAAAGGAGAGCACAACACCGGGTTAGGCAAGTGATGTTTCTGCACGCCAACGAACAACGCCCACATGCGCCGGGGGGTGCCTGGCACCGCAGACTCCCTACTTCCAAGGCTTATGCTCTCCCATTGGCTAGTGGGTAAATATGACCAGGGCTCGACAATCTATGTAATCTACTCACCTGTGGCGAGTAGATTACAACACGGAAGAGGTGAGTTTTTTTGCTCAATAACTTTGGTCCCCCATTTTTTTTTGCTCAACCAATTTTTCTCCATGTTCGGGATTTTTTGTGCAAGTATCTGGCAACCCTAATGACACATTAGGAATAGCTTAGGTGGCTTAACTTTCAAGTGCCCAACTTGGCCCTTTGGAAGGGTCCTGACCTTTCAGGGAACAGCTGATCAGCACGATATAGCACGGAGGCCCCTTCAACGCTGGGCTATGAAGATCAGTGCTCCCTTCCGAATAACGGTCCCTGTAAGCCGAGTGCTTGGGCGGCTGCCCAGGAGAGAGTCAAATGTCGCCCAGCTGATTAGCAGAGCGCCCAGCGCTGGCAGCCTGGTGCACCTCTGCACCTCTCGGTGCAGGTAATAAAATGTATTCCGCACGTGGACGAAAACATTATGCATTGAAGCAGCCGCTAATTCCTTCCCATGGGTGTGTCTTCAGTCCGGAGGGAAAGGGCTACTGGAGAGTTGGCCAGGAACCAGAGCAACGCTCTTCACATCCCACCAGCAAAGGCCCAGTGCCTTGACACCGATCCGGAGCAGATGCAGCACAGAGCTGGAGTCCGCATCAATGGCAATTTCCTCTTCTGCCAGATCGCTCACAGCCACCTCAGAGCGCCCCTTCATGCTGGTCAGCGAGACCTGATCCTGGCTGGTGTCGATGGCTCCTGGTTTCCCCAGCACGTTGCGGAGCTGGATCCAGAAGAACGGCTGGCGGGGGGGCTCTGAAGGCCACTCCAGGACGGCGGGGGGCTGGGCTCTGAAGGCCACTCCAGGTAGGTTTTGGTGCTGAGCATCTTGCGGAGCTTGCAGAACTTGTTGGGCAGGCTGCGGGGGTCGATGGACTCCAGCACCACCAGGATGACGTCCTCATAGCCCAGCCCCCCGGCCCGCTGGTGGGCGAAGTACAGCTCGTAGTTGCACCACTCGCTGTCCACGAAGCTGCGGGAGAGGACGAAGATGACCTTGCAGCTGTTCTCGATGTTTTCGATGATGTTGTCGATGATCCACTTGCCCGGCGTGAAGTCCCGCTCGTGGATGCAGATGCGGTACGGGGGGGTGGAGGTCTCCAGCCGGCGGAGCAGCTCCTGCCTCACCCAGTCGGCATCCGACCAGCTGTAGGAGATGAAGGCATGGTAGGCATAGGCCCGCGCCGGGGTAGCGTGGCGGGCGCGGGACTTCGACCGGATGATGCGGAAGGTGGCGTGGAGATACCACGGCACGTCGAACCTCCAACACAGCACCATGATGGCAATGATCACCACGGCCGTCACCGAAACAGAGATGGCCACCACCACCCTCACGTCGCACTCCGTCAGCCCTGGGGCGTAGTCAGCCACCCTCATGTCCAGCAGGGACTCGGGGTGGTAACACTTCCAGTTCTCAGGCCAGTCCTTCAGGGTTAGCTTTCCCTTCCTCCACATCTCCTGCAAGAAGCCGTAGAGGTCACAGGTGCAGTGGTAAGGATTGTTGCCGGCCTGGAGGCTGGCCAGCTGGGGCATGTGGACGAAGGAGCCTTTGCTGATGATGCCGAAGGAGTTGCCATCCACAGCCAGCGTCCGCAGGCTGGGGCATTTCCACACTGAGGGGATGAACTTGATCTTGTTCCCACTCAGCTTCAGCTCCTGAAGGTGACGGCAGCGGTCAAAGAAGTCCATCTCCAGCCGGTCAAGTTGGGAGTGGGACAGGTCCAGGTAGAGAAGCGTGATGGGCAAGCACTTGAAGATCTCCATGGTAACAGTGTTGTGGTCCAGGGCCAGCCAGACCAGCCCAGAATTCCACTGGCATGTCTCCTCCTTCAGGCTTCCGAGTTGGTTATGGCTGGCGTTGATATGGGTGAGGCGAGGCCAATTGGCCGTGAGCTTAGCCAATACGCTCAGGCTGGTCAGCTCATTTCTGGCCACGAAGAACCGCTCCAGTTTGGGCATGACGTCCTGGTAGTCGCAGCGCTGGTTGTAGATGTAGGCGTCCGTCAGCCGGTTGTTGGAGACGTCCAGGGCCACCACGTTGCGCATCTCGTCCCAGGCGTCGCAGGGCACGAAGTTGAAGTTGACGTTGAGAATGGAGAGGTTGGTGACGCCGCTGAACCAGGTGAAGGTCCAGTCGAACCGCAGGATGTCGGGGTTGCTGATGTCCTGGAGCAGCAGGCTGTCGAGGGTCAGGTTGGCGATGCCCGCTTCCGGGCGTTTCCATTGGGGAGAGCGGGCAAAGTCGATGGCCATCAGGGAGAGGTCGCGGATGCGGGCAGGCGCAGCAGGTTTTCATTGAACTTGCCCCGGTAGAAGACCAGCTTTTCGGCTCGCACCTCAGCTAAGCCGGAAAAGAGATCTGCGGCGTCCGTGTAGTAGGTGAATTCGAAGAGGTTACGGAAGCGGAGATACAGTAGCGGCTTCCCCTTCAGGTCTCGCAGGATCACGGGCAAGGCGTTGGGATTCTTGTCTAGGGCGATGTCGAACCACAGGCTGGTGGTGTTGAGCACCGAGAACGCCCCTTCTTGATACTCCAACAAGCTGGACGCCGTCTTCAGGGCAAACTTCTGTAAGGCTATCTCTTTCAACGGGAGGAAGTCTCCCTTGCCGACCGTCTGGATGAGAGGTCCACCCATGGAGAGCTCCTGTAGGTTCCTCAGCGTACTGAAGGCCTTGTCCAACGTTGAGTGGCAGTACAAGTTATTAGACATCTCCAGCCGCCTCAGTTTTCTCAAGGGCTTCAGGGCCAGTGCAGGGATCTGGTGCAGGGAGTTGTTGAAGAGGCTGAGTTCCTCCAGCAGGACGTTGGCGGCGAAGGCCCCTGCCGCGATGTGCGAGAGGTTGTTGTAGCTCAAGTCCAAGCTCTGCAGCTGGGTCAGCTCTGCGAAGTCCCCAGGGGAGATCTCATAGAGCCGGTTATACGAGAGATCCAGGCGGAGCAGGGTGCGGGGAAGGTGCCGGGGAACTCGGTCCAGGTTCCGGCCCTTGCACATGGCTGTCGTGTTGTCTGCGGTGAAAAGGCACGGGTCGGCCCTGACTGCCAGTCCCACCATCACCACACACAAAGCCAGGCATGTGCCAGCCAGCGGGGGCATGGTCTTCTCTTCACATGTTGGCTCCCCTGAAAGAGCGAGAGAGGAGGACACCCATGAAACGCCCGCTAATGTAACTTCTGCTCACCTGCTAATGTAGGGGTGGGCAATAACTTCTTATGGGGGGTGCACTCCCAAGATTTTGGAAAGTAGCCGAGGGCCGCACTCTTCCATGGTATTAATGGAGGTGCAGGGTCTGGGCTGGAGGTTGGGTGCAGAAGGGAGCTTGGGGTAAGGGACGGGGGTGCAGGAGTGAGAGTGGGGTCGGGAGCTTGGGGTAAGGGACTGGGGTGCAGGAGGAAGAGTGGGGTCGGGGAGGGAGGTTGGGCGAAGGAGGTAGTTGTGACCAAAGCAGGGAACTGGGGGGCAGGGTTTTGGGATGTGACCTAGGGTAGGAGGGGATTGTGATCTCGGGCAGGAGATTGGGGTGCCAGTTCTGGGAGGGGGTATGGGTATTTGATTGGGGAGGCAGAGGGTTGGGGAAGGAAGGGACTGGGGTGCCAGAGGCAGGTTTTCGCCAGGAGACTTACCAGCCAGCAGCCAAACCAGCCTACCTGCCTGCAGAGCTAAAGGCTTACAGAGCTTAAATGTTCCTGCCTGCTCGGCCATGCACTTGACTGAGTGAGCAGGAGAGTTGTGCTTTGTGGCTGCCTGTTATTCAAACAGGCCGCTTCCACTGGCCAGTATCTGTCCAGAAACCGGCCAATGGGATTGTGCCAGGGGCGGGAGCAAAGTCTGAATCGTCCCTGCTCCCCTACGGACTCAAAGAGAAAAAGCCCCGTAGCCGCGTTTCTGAGCGGCGTGTGGGGCAAGCAGAGGAGCCTGCCTGGGGCTCCCCACTGCCTCCGTGGGCCGGACCGGTGGCCGCGGGCCATTTGCCCAGGTCTGTGCTAATGGGAGCCTAGAGAGTCGAGGCTTCTACCACCCCATGGTACAGCCTTTCAGCTGGCTGAGGAGAACGCTGCGCTGCTGGGCTGAGATCCACTCCAGCATCCTGGAACACGCCACAGGGCTGCCCGATTCCACTGGTTTCAGTCTGTTGGTTTTTTCCCTACGAGTGTTCCTGAAGTGACGAGGATGTAAGGCCAGGGCACATGCAGCGAGGGGGGCGCCAGCTGCACCCGGCACCGACAGGCTGCAGAGGGAGCGCACAGCTCTCACAATCACAGCGCGCTGCTACACTTCCTCCAGCATCTCCCTCCCCGCCGCCACGTACGAGGCACGAGCCAAACCACCCCATCTGGGGAGACCATTTTGGCTCCGACAGGCTGGGGGGCCC